TATTCGTTCTCTAAATTTGATCTTTTTTAATAACAGTTATTTAATTTTATAGGCCAAATTAATTTAATATGTTTAACATATTGGAGGGGTACAGTATTACATTATAAATGAATATACTTTAGTAATTACCACTCAAATACCTATGACACAGTTTGAATAAGAGTTATTTCATGACTAGAGGCAATATACAAAACTGTGTGGTTAAAAATATTGTACAGTATCTTTGTATGAGATGAAGGTGAGAGGTCATGACCTCTGTTATGACAAAATGTGTCTTTATTTGTAAGAATGACCTATACCATAACGACTTGACCTGAATGTAAAATAATTATCTGTCATCCCTTTATTGTGTGTAAAAGAATAACATCGGACACAGTATTATTATATTTCAAATGAACAATGATTATTCACAGAATTTTTTTCATATTGCTGTTGACATTGCTGAGGTTTTAAAGTGCCTAGAGCACAAATGAAAGGAATTCTAATTCAATTTCACAACCAAGATTTATTTTTATATTTTCCTTATCTGTATATAGCACTGTTCTTTTTGGCTGAGTAATTATATTTACAGTGTCCTTGGATTCAATAGACTTTTACCCTGTCGTGTAATAATACACCAGATTCAGTGTATTTGAAATCGTATGATACAAAAAACAAAAAAAAAATTAAATCTGTGCATCAACATCTGTCAGTTTAAAAACAAAACGCATCTTTTCTTTTGATTTGTGTACAGAACTGGGAATTCCAAGTGCTTCAAAACTGTCTTTTGCACTATAGAACTTTATTTAGGCCAATAAAAAAAAAATTTTGTGTTGGCCACATTTTGGAAAAATTTACAAAATGGATAGGTCGGTAGGGAAAGTTTTTTTTGTTTTGTTTTAACCAAAAATTGTTTATGCCAAAAAAGTACAAAATACACAAAAATACAACAAAAACCATTTTTAAGTCTATATTGAAAAGCAAAATGATTGCATAACACTGTTGAATTGCAAGATAGGAGTATTCCAGCCTTGAAATGTTTAGCCCATTAAAAAAATATTTTTTGATGTAAAAAAAAAAACTAAAATGCCAACTCTCAATTTCGAACATTTCGGATCAGTCGGGCATGGCCAACACAATAATTTTTTTATTTGGCTCTTATTATACAATATTGCATATGTCTGTTATCAAATTTTACAATATAATAAAGTTGAATTAATAAATATAAAAACATTTTGCCTTATCTGACTCATAAATTGTTTTAACAGCAAAAACGCTCAAGTATGCATTCTGAAATATTTTTTTTTTAATTTATTCGGTATAAAACACTCAAAATGCAATAAAAGTTGAATACTTGAGTTTACAAAAAGATGTCTACCATACAGGAAACAGACACAAAACAAGCAAAACACAATACAATAAAAATATATAAAAGCCTACAGTAAATTGAAGGATATAAGAAATTAAAGCAGTATTTACTATTATATAAAAATATATTAGCATGTACTTAAATATTGTCTGTGGAAGTCATTTTAATAATATTTTTGCAATGGAAGGTACTGTTCTGCACTAGCTTTTAGTATTTTAAATACAAGACATTACATTATGTATAAGAGACAGATTCATATAGTGAAATGACTCATGCAGCCTGTGACCTGTTACACCCACTACCAGTCGCAATACAGCTGTTGGGTCTACAATATAATAAAACAAAGATATGCAAATAATAATTGGCCATATGGAGAAGTGATGTTATATAGCCAATAGAGAGCTTATTATTCATCTACGTGGAGAGCGGTAATCGAGAGTTAACCGACCGTGTCAATTGTATGGCCTTCCCCCCCCCCCCCCCCCCTACTATCTCCTCCTTGCCTCATACCATTCCCATTCAACTTAATTTTTAAGGACTTTTTCATTTCGTTTATTTTGTCCCTTGATGTAAAATGCAATATTCAAAACCAACCACACAAAGACAATTAAAAATGTTTTCAGGAGGTATACCAGATTGCCAAATTAGCAAAAATAAGCCAAGAAGTTGTGGAATGAACTGTGACTATTTAACAAAACACATTAAGAATAAGATGAAGTAAAATCAGAGTATCTACACCAAAAGGAAGGAATGGAACAAATTTAGAATGACAAAGATAAATTAACATGAAAAAGCTGTTTGTTCAATTAGGGCTACTTCCACTGAATATGAAAGGCTTCTCTAATTAAATTTAAGATAAATTCAGTTATAAAGTACATTTAAATTTAGTTGCCATAAAGAGATTTCATAAAGATTATTACCATAAAAAAAAGTTAAAAAGCATTAAACATTTTAAAAATACAGCCCAAAAAAAAAATAAAAAAATCAATATTGAAGGGTAAATGTCATAAATATCAGCCTTGACTTCTTTCATAGTATGTTTTTCCTCCTCTTGCCTTTGTAAGCCATTTTACATTAGGGCCTACTGCTTAATGAATAATTTGTAGAGAATTTGTTTCATGGACAAATTTTCAGTCTCAGACCTATTTATAGAACTTGAATTTGATTTGTGGTAAATCAGAAATTGAAACCTAGTCTTGATACTGTTTAAGTTTCATAAAGCGCTTGCTTGCTTACCTCTGGAATTGAGTTGAGTAAAATGTATGGAACGCTTGTGGATATTCCCAATAGTAGGCTCTTAAAATTCCTTTCAGTATTTTGAACTCTCTCTCTTTCATAAAGTATTTCTTATTTAATAGAGTGTGGATTATAGGCTATACAGACCTTTTTCTGTGTAAGGATGTTTTGATGAATGAAATAGGTAGAACAAACTACAAAATTCAACAGAGTGTGTCAACTAAAAATATAATTGTGTATTGTAACTTTTGTAGTTCAGTCTTTAATAGTAAACCTGATTTCAGGTCCCAGTGTTTCCCTGGCAACAGCTCCTGGTGGCATTATTTGAAGTAACTTTTGAAATACTATTCAGAAAAAAATGAAAAGATTAGCATAAATTATTTAAGCATGCACTGTTAAAAATTTGCCAGTTGATCAGAAAAGTTACGATCAGCAGATTCCTATTTCCCCAATATTGTATGAAAGGATGGGGTTCAATGCCGTAACCAGGATTTTCAAACAGTGTGAACCCACTATACACTTAAATTTAAATAATGTGGACCCATTTTCTTAAAAGTTAACCCATTTTATGCAAAAATATAAAAAATCTGGACCCATTTTTCAAAAAGTTCACACATTGTATGCATAAAATTGCATAATTTGGAACAATTTTTAAAAATTTGGACCCATTCTTTGTGGACCCATTAGAAAAAGTGTGTGGGACTGTCCCAACTGTCCCAATATCTAGCTATGGCATTGATGAGGTTATAATAATTACTTAGGATATTGGGTTTACTTGTGACAAAGTTATAATAGTGTTTCAGTATATTAATTCCTGTTTATGTAATAACTTGAATAAATTATTCATAATACTTTCACTAATAATAGTAATCTTTGCAGTGCCATGTTTCGAGCAATATTATTTTGCTGGGGTTGCGTCTGATGGTAACCTTGGCGTAGATCTAGAAGGAAAGTTACACTCAATTCTGGCTCTTTAATTAGTAATATATGTTAGTTAACGTGACAAATATCAATTCACTCTCAATTGACTTGCATCTTGTAAAGATGTTGATCCTCCTTTTCATTCAATTACCTCGTTAGAAGATTACAAAACTCTGCAATTTTGTAAATATTTTAAATATCTCTTGTGGCACTTTTTACCTTCAGGGCTTGAGTAATGGTCGCCATGGAAATACCTTTAATCAATGAAGTGTCAGTAGGATGTTGATCTTTAAATATGTGTTACAATCTAATTTTTCTTTCAAATGGATACATTAAAAGTCGATATAGCTATTTATGTATAAAGGTTTCTTGGGAAACAAACATTTATATACAAAGAATTGTTAAAGAAAAGTTTGGTGATTGAATAGTCTTCAATACATTGCTGTTTGTGTTTATAATTTGGTAAATCAAATAGAGGCAAGAATCATGAATTGTATTCTTTAGGCTGAGCACTTACTACGCACGACGGTCGACGTGATTCTATAAAGAACACAATGTGACGCACACGCAGCGGATCGTTTTAATGACGATCCATTCAGACTGCCACCGACAATCACTAAACAGCGTCGCTCCGTCTCGCTCACAGAGAGCGGAGTGGGATTCGTCGTGCGACGGTCTTAAGACAGTCGTACGAGGCAGTGTGTGCCTGGCTTTTATATGTTCTTTCATTCTTGTCATTTTATATAGAAAGCAATATGGCAAAATGTTAACGTACAGTAAAATATTAAATATTAATTATACAAAATATTAATTGTGCAAAATATTAATTGTGCAAAATATTAATTATACAAAATATTGCAATAATTATACAAAACATGTTTTGATTATACAAAAAATTAATTTAATTATATACAAAATATTGATTATAAGAATATTAATTATACAAAATATTAATTATGTATTCAACTCCAATTCTGTCTTCCAGCTTTATTTATATGAACAGTTAATTTGCTTTCAAGACTTGTGGCTTGCACTTTTGTAGTAAACTTTCATTTCGGAACTTGCTATTCCGGTTAATGGCGTTTTAGTTACATGTGAAATAGATGTGTTATCAGAGAAACACATGAAAGCCTCTTAACATGTTATTTTCTGATAAGCTGTGTGTGAGCTAAGTAGTCGAGGTCAGTGGATGGCAGTGCTAGACGACAGAGTTTGACAGCTTAGCACTCAATATCCACTCTCTATTCTACTAAACTAGCAGAAACAAAGTACTGTATTCTCATACATTACATTCAGTTTGCATCAATTCATGTCTTGAATTTTGTTTCAAAATATTTTAAAATGGGTAATGATGTAAGTGTTTACATTTCAAATTTTTATTATGATGTTCAGGTTTTTTGTGAAATTTCCGATGCATATCTATATTTTGGTGAATTTATTTTTTTAAAGTAAAATTTATTAAAATAAAAAGTTTTATTTTTGTGTTTTTTTGTAGTCTGCTCAGTTGGAGACAAGGCTTCCTGTTCACCGGCGTTCCCACCTACCTCCTCCAAAGATCAACACCACGCTGTTGAGGTCTCCGGAGAAAAAGAAGTTGCCTCATCTATCTCCAACATCTCCGACGATCCGTGGCCTCCAAATTGGGGACACGGTGTGCACAGAGGATCACCGCATTGGCACATTAAAATATAAAGGAACTACACATTTTGCTGCAGGGACTTGGGTCGGGATCCATTTACAGGAACCAATTGGGAAGCATGACGGAAATGTTGATGGTGTGCAATACTTTGAATGTGAGGAAAATCATGGAGTATTTATTTTAGCGAGTAAAGTTTACTTTGTAAATAATAAGGACGTAGGGTTGCCAGATTGTCCTCCTTTAAGTCCAGACGAAAAGAAATCGCATCACAGCTATCACTCAAGCAAATTTAAAACCTTTGCAAAGGAGAATTTTTCTCCAACAAAATTTACCAGCAAACTTTCTCAATCTTTAGTGAACTCAAAGGTCCCTCGACCAAAAACCCTACCAGTCTTTCAAAAAAATGCAAAAGTAGGTTCAAAGTCAGACAAATCGGAGGAATTATACAGAGTAGAAATATCACCAATTGAAAAGGTGGCAAACAACAGCAAAATTAGCTTCCATGTTAGTAGCATTGCTCCGGTAGAAAAGAAACTCACTGTTTGCGATTTTTTAGATGATAGTAGCAAACAAGACAGAACATTAAATTCCATAGATTCATCAACTGGTAAACAGTCTGACCATTTTCATGAGGATTTGTGCAACTCTTACTTAAGCTCCACATCACACGGACTTAAGTCTATACCAAGTTATACTGATTTGTCAGGACAGTCACTGGAAAATATTAGTGAATTTAAAACTCGGTTGGAACAGCCATTTGATATTAGTACGCCAAAGAAAAAAATTTTTGCTTCCCCATACAAATGTTCAGCAAATGAAATCACATCAGACAAAGAAGTTGCTAGTAATTTTGCGAGTATTGATGTAGTATTATCAAAAACCCCATCATCAAACTCACAACAAGGAAATGAATTTGCTTGTCACGTAAATAATAACACATTTGAAGGCAATCAACGTGAAGTAGCTTCTGAATTGATTGAACTGGATGACTTAAGTTTGCAACCTAAAGTCTCATCCTGTAGGGACTCAAACGTTGGAAATAGATTGGAACATACAGTACCCGCACAGTGTCAAGGCCCGCTTCTTGGCGATTCACCGACTGTGCCATTGCCGGATATTGAACCAAGGACGTTGGATATAGAATCCTTCGGGTTTGATGTAAATGATGACGGGGAGTTCAGCGAGTTTCTTGCAGTGCCTTCATTCCTTGATTCTCCAAGTGGCCGTTGGAAATTTGATTTATTAACCCCTGTTGAATTTGCAAAAGTGCTTAATGAAAGTGATACGCTCAATTTGTGGGAGTTAGATCCACCAGAAGAACCATATGAGACAGATCTGTATGAGAATTTAGAAACAAATCGCGAATGGGAAAAGCATAATATATGGGAACCCATTACAATAGTGGAAGAAGAATTCTTATCTGATTCTTTTGATGATAAAGACGAAAATATTAAAGAATCTAATATGGAAGCAGCTGGCACGGAATCATCAGAAAAATCCCATACTCATACTCTTCCTGCCAGGAATAATAATAATGCAAACTCTTTAGATATTATTCAAGATGTGGAAGAGACAACTTTTGTGGTGGATAAATCCTATGAACTAAATAAAACAATGGATATTATAAAAGTTGATTGTGGTATTAAAGAATCCTTGAATACAACTTTCAAATTAGATGAAAAGACAATCCAGGATAAGGTTCAGGAAGAACCTCTTGTAGATGCTGCTAAAGAAAATTTTCCCACAGACTTTCCTGAGGAAATTTTTAATGAAGCACACAGACTTAGTCAGGAACTAGCTAAAGTAGATTTCTTGCAAACTTCTACACCTCTGAAAAAAGAAGGTTTTGAATATGATAATATGCCATCGTTCTTAGAAACACCCTGTAGAAAGAGTGTTCTTGTGGAGACTGAAATGGAAGTTGAGACTGGAGATGCTGCGGAACATGCAGTTAGCACTACTTTGGAAGAAGATGTCAAAAGAATGAGCCTTGAAGATGTTCACAGTGAGGCTTCCATGGAAACACAGTCTGCTAAATCCTCTGATTTAGCCATGGTTACAGATTGTCTGCCTGGAAGCAAAGAGATGAAAGTCGATGCTTGCAATTCACAAGGTAGTAGCAAGAAAAACTCCAGGTCTGAGTTATCCACAGTGATAGAGGTAGAAATGATGATGGTTGCGCAAGCTGATCCAAAGTTAAGCAGTCGGAATAAACCAGCTCCCAAGGAGAAAGACAAGGAAGAAGAAAACAATAATGATGTCTCTGGTGTCAAGGAAAAGGCAGGAATAGAGCATTCAAAGCTACCAAGGAAGAGAACCCTCCAACAGCCAAAGACCACAACAAAGAAGCATATTGGTGATGGCAGTGCAGATGTTGTCAGCAGACTCTCCAAGACAAGTAAATTAATCCGCCCGTCTGTTAATACTAAGGCCCATGATAAACATGATACCAAACGACATAATGAAACATTTACAGAGAATCCTGATCAAGAGACAGATGGTTCTGGATCTCATGGCAGTGGTGATAACCTCAGTAAGAAGACCTACTCTCCCACCTCATGGAAAGAAAATAGGAAATCTGGTGTTGACAAGAAAAGTATGATTCTACCCCGGAAGAAAAACATCGAGCCTGGCAAACAACCAGCAACCTACGAGAAAGTTAAGAGCAGGATTGATGCAACATGGAAGGCCCAGAACGCAGCGGCGGCAAAGGCTGGCGTTGCAGGTAAGCGCCCCCAGACATTAGTAGAGTCCGTCCTCCGAGACCTTGAGACTCGAGGTAGTCTTTCCTCCTCAACTAGGAGTTTGAAATCTGATACAAGTGGATCAACCCAACGACCCAGCAGTAGGGCCAGCTCAACAGGTAAAGTGCAATAAAACATTTCTCGTCAATTGCTTTTTGCACCCAAATTTTAACCCTGTAAAGCACTTTTCAGTTTTCTTGTTGAGCTTCAAATTATATTTTAATTTTCTGTTTTAATTCCAAGAATTTGGATTTCTGTATACAAGTCAATTTTTTTCTTGCAATATTTTGCATATTTGTTTCCCAATGTTGAAAAGAATGTACAACTCTATACAGAAAAGGCATTTTATTTTGAAATTTTCTTGGTGTTAATGTTGTCAATTTTAAATTCAAAATTTTAATACTGCATTCAAACATATTCTTCTTAAAACATGCTTTTAGTTATTAACTATATTGTGTAATCTTTCCCACTTGTTGCATGAATTTTTAAAAAAGTGTTTATCGTCTTCTTTTCTTTCTACCTTTGCATGGTTGTAGATGTGCTGTTGAATGTGGAAGAAAGTTCTTAAATATTCGCAAGTACTATGACTTATAAGTAGTTGATCCAAGAGGTGCAGATGGGATGTGGGGTATAGGGACTTGGGAGCATTGGTGGTGGATCCAGAAATTTCCCCCTATCCCTGGTGGCCACCACTTGAGAGTATGCACTTGTAATGTTTTGGATATCCTCCCACTGACAAAATAAATATACAACAAAAATATGTAAAAACATAAAATTTATTGGTTGTTTTGAAAAATCAATATGGGACCTGGTATCGCTGCCCCTATGCTCTTTGACCTTTGACATTGTATCTTGCACTGCTTCTGCATAAATGCTGTATGTTGCTTATCAAAATGTTTGACCTTAAATATGACTCCTTAGCCCATTTTACTTTGTAGATACAAGCTCAAGAAGTTTTAAACCGAAAGCTGTAAAACGTTCAGAATCGATGCGGGAACGTCGTGCGAGCTCCACGAGTGCAACGTCTGAAACATCGTACCGATCAGGAGCAATGATTACCACAACTGAAAGTTCACGACAGAGTTCAAGAAGCGGCAGCCCTGAAGGTAACCTAGTTTTTTTAGATTTTTTTAAACAAACAATTTAGAAAAAAAAAATTTCTACTCAGTAGAAATATTTCAATAATAACCCTGGTATTCTTAAAATGAACTTCAGTCATAGTTCGAGCTAAAACTTCAAAATTATGTCATTTCGTATCTTTTAAACGAACTTCAACTAGCACTACGACTAAATCTCTCGAACCTCGACTAAAATTATACTCTCGCAGACCAATTTTTTTTAGTTAGCCTAGGGTCAGGCTAAATCGCCGACTAAAACATGCTTTTTGTAACTTACGATAAAGTGAAACAAATAAAAACGATTTTATAAATAGGTCTGATGTATCCTCAGTGTGTTCAAGAAAAGGGACATTACGTTAAGCTTCCAAAAGGCGAAATTAACATGTTTTGCTAGCTACATGTAACAGTTCCTAATCTGCACGAAATTCCATCGCGTTGTGATCATGTAGCTTCACCGTAACAACAACAAAGATAGCGCTGCCCTCGCTCGACCTCAACTATAATAGTTCTCCAAAGAAAGCAAATTTTCAGTGACAGTTCAAATTCTCTATCGTTGGATGTTAACGACTAATAGTTATTATTATAGAATATTAGTTTAATAGGCGAATAATGGTCTATTGTGAATTATGACGAAATATGTTTTTGAAAGAGAGACGGAAGTTTAATATTCATCCGCGTTACTGAATCTCTAAAATTTTGTCTGCTATTAAAATTGGCTCTTTTCATTGGGTAGTTTGATAGTTGTTGCTTGCTCCGTCTTCAGCTGAACTACAACTAGGACTTGATTTAGTCAAAGTTATTTAGTCGGAGTTAGAACTTTGACTAAATTGTTTGTGAATACAAGTTGAAGTTGCAACTAAGACTAAAAGTTTTAGTTTGAAGTTCGAATAAAGTTTGTTTTAAGAATACGGGCGTAAATCTTGTTTTGTGAATTTTTAATTTTGTTAAGTCTTGCTTTGCCATGCAGTGATTGATCCAGGATTTTTACCGAGGAGGGTGAGGGCCACAGAATCTGAATCTATTATTTGTAAGGAAATTATTTAAAACAGATTCCTATTCAGAATCCACTAATGCATGGATTTGCAGTCATGTTTCCATAGCAACTAAATTTGCCAAGGCAACTGTTTCCAAAGCAATATTGTAGCATCAAATTTTTTAATTTCTCGCTCCATTGTATAAACATTTCTTGTACTATGCACAGTGTTAGCATGCAGGTATTGCTTTGAATTTCTACTTAAAGTGCAGCTAGGAAATTTTACAAATACACCCAAAATAGTACCCTTTTCTTCAGTAATAATTTTAATGAAAGAAATAATTATAGTTATTGTCAGGATAGGGAGCCTGATTTAGTGATGAAGATCTTTATTATAAGCATAATTAGATAAATACTGTAAACGAGGTTCAATTATATCAAAATACAGATTTAATTAACATAAACATACAATAAAAATACTATTACTTTAATAACATTTACTTGAATACAATAGTAGAAAGATCATATTTCGATTTAAAAATATGATCAATGAAATGGGTGATATTTACAATGGCTAAATAATTCTTTAAATTTAACAGCTGATATCATTATATCGTCCCTTAATTATATTAGTTTTATTTGTCATAAACCCTACCAAAATTAATATAATTGTTTAAGCCAGCAATGATAATGTTATAATGATAAAGTTGAGTAAATTCCATGAAATTGGAAATTGCCTACCCCTTCAATATTTCTCTTGACAAATACCTTTGAATAAATTTGCAGCCAAACCATTAAAAAGGAGAGCAATGCTCCATTCAACTAATAGAAGTAAGTAACACCTGTGCACGTGTGTATGCAATTGGTCTTATCTGTGCACACATGTATGCAAAAAAGCTTACCTCTGCGCACATGTATGCTAATAATCTTACCTGTGCGCACATGTATGCAAATAACCTTGCCTGTGTACACATGTATACAAATGATCTTACCTGTGTGCACATGTATGCAAATGATCTTGCCTGTGAACACATATGCAAATGATCTTGCCTGTGTACACATATGCAAATGATCTTACCTGTGCACCTCTACTGTTATTGATTTTTCTTTGCTCTTCATATTTTGCTGTATATTCATCTTATAAGTTTTGTTTTGAAATAATTGATTAACTGCAGTGATTTTGACGTATTATATTTGGTTGTTTTTTCTGATGTTTGAGATATTTTTTTAATGAAATTTGAGTCACTCTTGAAGCAAACTGTTGTTCGTGATTAATTATGAACAGCAAGGGTTGAAGTGAATTTGATTTATTTAAATCATCATCATTAGAGCTGTCGTCATCATCCTTCACATCATTCTAGCCAACATTATCATCGCCATCATCATTATCGTCATCATCGTCATAATCATAATCATCATTGTCATCATCATCATATTCATTATCCTGTTTGCCATCGCTAACATTTTCAGCAAGATCAATATTATCTTCACTATTAGCATTTTCACCAACATATTCAACTTTATGTGCTTTTAATCATCATCTTTACTATTATTATCACCATAACCAATCCAATCCAATACAAGGTTTGATTTCTAATAAGGCACATTATACATGCAAGGTCTCAGTGTGCCATCATCATCATCATCGTTATCATCATGATTACCATCATCATTTAACATTATCACCACCACACCATCATCCTCTTCATCACCACCATCATCACCATTATGCTCATCATCGTCGTCGTCATCATCAATAGCCTTGTTTACACGGCAGGAGATCACCGTGATGATCATGTTTATCCTCTGGTATAGGTGTTAAGTGGCCGTGAAAACAGAGTTACTGTAATAACTCCACAATAACGGATCAGTAACTGCGATTATCTATGCAGTTACTCTGCATCGCAGTGATGTCAAATTAACTGTTGTTTGACATGTGAGAGTATAGCTGGAAGTCGCTGTTGATAAACATTATCATTATTATTATTTGAAAAATTATATTTTTATGAATTACATACATTTTTAAACAAAGGGTTTCAAAACAAGTAGCAATGCGCCCATTTTTCAGGTCAGTTTTAATCATGTGACTTCCTGGTACAATGGATAATTTTTTTAACGTGTAGATGCGCAACTGGAGATCATCGGTGTTACCTATCTGATAGCAAACGATCGTGTAAACAAGGCTATTATTTTAATCTTGAGTGATAATAGTTTGTGTTTGCTAATTAATGAGTGATCATCATTTGTTGTATTTATTAGTGTCATTGTACATTAATATAGATAGCCCTGTCCAGACTATCAAATTCTATTTGACAAAAACATTTCACATCACGACTATATATGGGCATGATGATATCACATGGTGACCATATATAGGCATATCATGACTATATATGGACATGATGACATTAAATCATGACCATTTATAGGCACATCATGACCATATATAGGCACATCATGACTATATATGGGCATACAACATGTTTTTGTCAGTTTGATAATCTGGACAGAGCTTAACAGTAATTTCATGACCTTATCCTATACTTTTTATGTTTGTGTTCATTGTTATTATTCTTTCAATTATTCTTCTTTCATCTTATTGTTATTATTAAACTCAATCTAGTAATGTATGCTCATTGCTTTGTTTACCTAACACAGTGTTGTTTGTTTGATTTCAAAACTTCACAACTTATTTCATCTATTTCCATGCCCCACAAAGTCAATATTTATATACAGTAATTAATCCACTACAAGAATTTGATTTAAGTAGTGCTATTTTATGCCACATGCTTAAGGTAGCATGCTACCGTAGCATGCTACAACACTAAACACCCATCCACCATAAGAACATTATATTGATGTACTAATGTTGTAGTGATAAGTAGCACTGCTGTCTTACCACAAGCACATGTCACATAAGGCACTGCTGCTACATCATCAATAGCAGTTATTCATTATACCACAAGCGTATTATTATAAGCACTACTACTCAATACTACTTGTATCTTCAGAATTCTCTATAATTGTACCATAATTTTGAGATACTGTGTAAGTAAATAAGATGAGACCTTTTATACAGAGTTTTACTGTATTTTAATTTATTTCATACACAAAGTTTACTCTAAAATATTTTAGCCTTATACAGTAAGAACCAAAGTGAAAGTAGTTATTTATTCTGCCATGGATGGTTATTTTATCATTATGTTAAGCTGATATTTTAATACAGTATGTTGTAGGTATGTGAGGGTTTGATCACAAGATTTGAAGTGCATACATTAAATGTCGCCTGCTTTCAAGGTCATCCCATAAGCTTATACAATATATGTCGTCTGATTTTAAGGTCATCTCATAAGCTTGACCTTTGTATAAACAATAAATTTTTAATACAAATATTCTGAAAATCATTTTTATGAATTAAGTTGATGGTGTATGACTTCGTTATTGAGTTGATGGTGTATGACTTCGGTATTATATATTTTAATATTACATAACCTATGTATATTAATTTACATAATTTAATATGTTATAACATTTAAAATTTTTGTTATAATTTTCTTGTAATATTTTATATAAAAATTCATCAACTTAATAATTTTTAAATGCTGGTTTTGAGAAAAAAATGCATACCAGTAATGAAGACTCTTAATCAAGATTTATCAATGGTCATTGTCTATTTTTCTTATATTCTAATAAACTAATAGATTCAGCATCATCATTTATCATCATTATATCATTTTCATAGGTTAACATCATGGTCATATATATCATTGTCATCATTGTTATCATCAATATTATTATATCACAGATTAACAACATAGTCACAATTATTGCCATCGTCATTCTCATCATTATCATCATCATCAATATCATCATCATTGTCATCATTATCTTCAGCAATATCATCATAATTGTCATCATTATCTTCATCATCAATATCATCATTGTCATCATTATCTTCATCATCAGTATCATCATCATTGTCATTGTCATCATTATCTTCATTAATATCATCATTGTCATCATTATTGTCATTATCAATATCATCATTCATTGGAATTGTTATCACTGTCATCATTGACATTGTCTTCAACAATACCATCATGCGCCACTTCTTGTTGTTTAGTGTCTTTTTTATCACAATCCACGTCTAAGCTATGTGATCCAAGATCCATGCCCCAAGTCTGCGATCATTCGGTTTTGTTTTAACTCATCATGTTTACTCCAATTCTTTTTAATTGCTTTGTTATTTCTCTTATAAGACCAAATTAAACCCATTGGACTTTATTATAACTACAACTTTTAATAAAATCAAGGACTTGCACCTTCCTATTTAATTAAGATGTTTGTTTTTCTCAAAAATGATAAAAATACTCGAAGTCAGACAAATAATCATCTTTTAGTTCCACAGTGGAACATTTGTCAAGAAAAACAGACCTTTCACTATCGAGCATCCATGAACTGGAACGAACTACCTAGTAACAGAATTTAAATCAAAATACCTTTAAAAATGCTCTAAAATAATTAATCTTTTTATTTTGTAATTAAGTCCTTTTTGTTAAAATTTCCTTATATTTTTCTTTTCATTTTATTGCTTTTGTATTTTCTATGTTATAACTGGACCACAACGAAAACCAGTGCATTTGCATTGAGCATGCCATCCAGTATAAAGAAAGTTGAATAAATAAATAAATAAATAAATTTCTACAAATTGATGTCATTTTCATGTAATTTCTTCTTTGCTGCCGCCAATAGGTTTTAGAATTGATACCAACAAGAAAAAAGCAACAACTTTACCAAAGAGTCGTTTAGTGAAGCTGAGTGCTGGTACCGGAGCTTCCAAAGTGCCTCTCAGTAAGGTTGTCAGCCAGCCGCTGCGATCCAGGCACGGACCCGCAGACAATCACCAACCGGATATTGGTAAGATACAGTATTTTTGGATCCATCCATTTCAACATAACATTTTTTATTTTGAGTAAATTTCTAAAAATTTAAATTCGACTTTATTGCAATCAATTACAAGACAAGAAAACGGTACTGGAAAATTAATGAAGTTAATAGATACACATTCAAAAGATGTCATTTAGATGAAAATACAAGAGGTATTAACACAAAAATCATTGAGAAAACAACATTAATTGCAAAATCCCCATAAAATTTACAGAAAATTATTTGCAAAAATTTGTATTCAATTATTTTGACATAATTTGTGTTATATTGTAGCTATTTAAAGCAAAATTCCTGTTAATTATTTATAAAACAAAAAATAATAAGTCACTTTTTTATGGCAATTTGTGCCATTTTTTAAAGAAAATATAATATTATATAATATAGTATTACACTGCATTGTAAGCTAGACATAGCAGTTGACATTTCATGAGCACAAAATTAGCTCAAAATAGATATGGCAACTTAAAATCAAATATCATAGGTCAACGCTCCTTAATATACTCGCTGTGCTCTTCATTACTAAACTCGTCAATTTCTTGCCGTCATTTAAGTTCACGGCAAATGAAGTTACTATGGATGCCGATCGCATACAAGAACAATTTATTGTGCAGAAAAAAACTGAAAAAAAAACTAATGTTGCAATTATTTCCTCATGAGGAACAGGAATCGGCCAAGGTCTCTGATCTCATCAGTTTTTGACAGAAATTGTTGTTTCTGTTACTAAATTTGAATGCACTAATGATGAAAATAAAAACAGACGACCTCTTGAGAGCGAGATGTCGCCGTCGCACATCTGACCTCCCCTCACTCTGAGGCAGATTAAGTGTATATCAAATACAAAAAGTAAATGTATTTGATAATATATTTGGAACAAAATTTGTAAGATATTCTTCATTGATATTCAGTTTAACATAAAGGTATAATCAAGATAGAAAAAAAAACAAAGCAAACCACACAAATACAGAATTACAAAATCTGTAAAGTAAAAATTATTAAATTCTTTTATTTTTAATTATAATAGAGATATATAATATATGTTGTTCATTATAATAGAGATCTATAAGATATGTTGTTCATAGAAGTATTGTTAATAATAATAGGAATTTTAAATATATATTTAAATCTTTTTAGGATTAATTTAATTCATTCTTTTAAATCTTACAACAAATTTTATTGAATACAAGATTGATTAATTTTATTTTTTATTTATTAGCCCAAGTGAAAAGGGAGAATGGAACTGTCTCTGGCGTGCCTACCATCACAGGAAAGAGGAAGGTAACAACACGGAGAAATATTCACCTAAAAGGTAAGGTTCTAAAGGTTAAAGGTCTTTTTTTTTTTATCTCAGCTCCTTTGAACTGTGGGAATGCAGTTTAGTGCCAGTGTAGACATGCAACAGATACATTGCTTCCTACAGCTAATGGAAGGGTGTTTAGGAGCAGAGCGATCCGACTCCAATTAAAATCCTGACGCTGGCCACATTGGAACCAGGTTCTACAACGCAAGAAGCAGGAACATTACACATCTGCCAAATTCTTTTTACAAAATATAACAAGATGGAAAAGGAGTTGCTAGGAAGGAGTGAAAGGAAGTTTGGGATTATTATAATTTTAATTCTGAAAATTCAAGATGTTAAAAAAATTAATGCCACATAACCTAAGCCATATTTAGTATCTGTATCTCAGTTGATTGTGATTAATTTCATTAGAACAATTTAAAATTGATTTTCAGTCCACTCCACGGACAATTGAAAGGATGCCAGTATTTGGACTTACTCTAGGGTATTGGTCAGTTGTCCATATTAAAAGGTCCAGTTAAGTGATACTGTGAACGTTGCAGTTAAGCCAACTGCTATTTATTATTCATGTATGTATGGCGTTGCATAATGCAATTGATTATTGCCATTAGTGCATATGAAACCAGGCTACAATCTTCTCGGGTTAACACTTCTAAAACTATAGAGGGCTCACTTCAACTAACAGTATATTTCAGAAATGTAAGTAAAATTAATAATTACTAATATCTTGGATTTTAAACCTAATTAATAACAAATTTAATCATCGTTAACCAGGGGCGGATCCAGAGATGTCCAAAAAGGGGGGGGGCGAAGGGGGGACCTAAAGTTGTGCCAATCGAGACAACACTGTCCTAGGGGTCCGAGGGCATGCCTCATTGAAATTTTTGTGTTCTAGACGCCAGAAAATAACATTTGAAGCGTTCTGGGCTTATATTTTTTCCCTTTTCTTTCTTTTTTTCTTTTTTTTTTCTTTTTTTACCTCCCAAATGAGGGGACCGGGTCCAGGCTGCCCCCCCCCAAATCAGCCCCTGTTAACGTTATATTTCCATCTTACCATTTATCTGTGCCCTTTGGCAAGACATTTTTAGCACTTCAGACACATATTTGTATGGATGCAATTATCATTTTGCCCTTTGAAAAAGTCACCATACCTCAAAGGAGCATTGGTGGACGACTGATTGATAGATATGCCAATCTATCACTGGTTGTACTCATACATTTGCATGTTCTTCTTAGCCCTGCCCTCCTAGGCCCGCCTATTGTATAACACATCCTAATTGAACAATTTATAATTCATTGTCGTGGCCGCATAAAAATTGCTGACTGGCCGCACTTTGCCCACCTGTGACCTCAGTATACCATCTATAAATACAGTCAGTAATATATTGCTACAATAATAATTTTCTATCTTTAAAAGGTGTAAAATAAGAACAAAATAAAGAAAAAGTAAGAATAATTTTTTTTACTGGTTCATGATATGCCCATATATAGTCATAATGTGCCTATATATGGTCATGATGTGATGCCATCATTACCCTATTGTATAACACATCCTAATTGAACAATTTATAAGTTTGATTGGCACTACAAAGGTTCAGTTCCCCGATATCGGTGATGTACACTTTTTTTATAAGAACAAAAACACTGAAATTGCTTAAAAAATAAGAGCAAGTTGAGGCTGAGGTAAAATTAGGTTTTCATTAAAAATTTATTTAATTTATTAAAAAAAAATCAACAAATCAAGCTAGTCAAATGCAGTAAAGTATTGATGTTTAAAAAAGTTATTATATATTACACCAGAAGTGGGCATAAAAATCGGTCGGAGGGCCAAAGTGAATTTTTAGTTTAACACCGAGAACCACACCCAAACTTTGATGTTTCCAATGAGCTTCCAAAAACTTCCGAGCACTGCTTTTACATCACTTTATTCTCAGTTTTAACGTTACTTTTTACATATGATGGTGTCGGGCCATAAAAAAAATAAGGAGTTTTCTAACCAATTTTGATTGGCGTGCCGCAAACATAGGGTTTTTAATTCATTGTCGCTGGCCGCATAAAAATTGCAGACGGACCGCACTTTGCCGATCTCTGACCTGCAGTATACCATCTATAAATACAGTAAGTAATATATTGCTACAATAATAATTTTCTATCTTTAAAAGGTGTAAAAATTAAAATAAGAACAAAATAAAAATATTTTTTTTACTGGTTCTTATAAAAGAAAAGTGCATGATGTGTCCATATATAGTCATAATGTGCCTATATATGGTCATGATGTGATGTCATCATTACCGTATTTAGGCATGAGATACCTACATACCCCACATTTGGCACAGGCTGTTACTTGGCAAGAATATTTCTTATTTGTTGTCTTTATAGCATTCTGAGTATCACATGATATAACCTATGACCCTAGTAGTCATTAGGTCATGAGAATGTCAGCTGGTAGGTTAATAATGATCAAAGCCTTCATTATTTCCAATCTGTCAAAATTGATTCATTTGAATTCTTTATGCCAACTTCCCGATGACTCACTTCGCAAGCCGATAAACTGAAGGATAGTCAACCCCAAAAAGTACAATTCGCCCTACAATTCGAGACAACTTTGTTAAATGAAAATTTGATGTGGTCTCGGTATTTGTTCTCCACTAAGAGGTTATCTTTGTGTTGAAATATTGAGGATTGTTATTTGGTTCTTTGATAAAGTGGTCTTGTAATTAGAGCCCTGGGTCTTCAATTGGAGAGTGCACTGTAGCTAAGGACATTTTACCAAAAGAAAAAAAAAAAAAAAAAGCAGCTATATTCATCGAAACTACCAAAAAAAGAAGCTAAATACACTTAATCCAAAAAACAGCTATATTAATGGAAACTACTAAAAATAGTAGGAGCTAAATTCAACGACGTTTAATCCAAAAAATTAAATTCAATATGATCCATAAATAAGTGGAAATTACTAGCCGCTCTTCCCCCTCTCACAACCCACTTATATTCCAGTTCTTTGCTGTTTTCAGCTCCATGAATCCATTGTCCCACATTTATCTGAACCAACATAAAAATGAGAAGAAAACACAATGAGATAGAGTGAGCATTATGTTTTATGGCTCTGTCCAGATTATCAGATTTTTCCATATATAGTAATGATGTGCCTATATATGGTAATTATATGATGTCATAATGACCATTTTTAGGCATGTCACGTTTTTTTAAATCAAATTTGATAGTCTGGTCAGGACTTTGCTTTAGTCTATTTTTAATTCCATTATTGTGGTTGACAATATGACCTTAACCATGACCTGATATTATGTATTTAAAGAAGCAGTTAGACTGTCTCTGATTGGTTAAGCATTAATCAGTAGGTAGCCTGTCTGTGATTGGCTAAGCCTTGATGACTATGTAGCCCATTTATGATTGGTCAAACATTGATGAGTAAATACTAAATGTTATATATCAATGCTGCCCACTGATGCTCCTGAAGGCAAATTCTGCTCCTAACATCTGTGTCAAAGGTTACTAACACTGACAGATACAGTAATACACCTTTTTTCCAATTCCATTCACATGGGTACGGTTTCCAGTTCATCACAAATTTATCTGTGACAACATTAAATTAAATTCTATGGATCTTTTAACTAAGTATTAAAGTGATACATTAAAATTATAATGCCTGAATTTGAGAAGATGACATAAGTTGTAAAATAAATAAGGTGGTTATGTAAAGAATGTTAAATGTTAATGGAAGTAACTGAGGGGTGTCGATGGCAGCTGCTTAGCCAACTCATCTCACAGAAACACATGCTACAATGTGTTGTGCAAAGGTGTTGTTTGCAATAATAAAGTAATTATAAAATGTCAGAAACAATTTGTACCACAGAAGACTAAATCTGTAGAACTGTGTAATTGATAACAAACTAATGGACAATGGATGTAAACTTACTGTAAGCTTTCATTGATGTTGTCATCGTAATATTACAAACTATTCAAATATTTTAGAAGATCATATCTTCATCCTGGATTTTTCAAAGAACCTCTTGTTCAAGTGGAATTTCATTTATTTGGTCCAAAGAACAACAAAACTGACAAAAAAAAATAATAAAAGAGATTTTAAAATAACAACTTGTTGGCTAGACAGGATTGCTATGCTAAGGTTTACATTATATTTCCGGTGGCCACGGCAGCCCTATTAGGAGAAACGTAGTGCGTCTAGGATTTCGGCCATTTTTTTCTACGTATTCAAGTTTTGTTAGGTCTTGCTCAGTTTTTTTTTTCTTTCACAGCTTGATCTTCGTTGATTGGTGTTTTATTTGTGGCGTTTTTCCTATTTATGGTTCCCGTCCCACTGCGGACGTACTGTCACGTTTTGTTATGTTCACCCCGTTTTACTACGGCCAACTAGGTTTTTCATCCGCATCGTGACTGGCGTGACAAATTTAACTTGATCAGTCTCTAGTGGCTTTTACATTCTTATTACATTACTGGCTAATTAAAATACATTCATTGAATATAATAAGAATATAGGTTTTTAACATAATCCTTTCAAAGCCTGTAGGAAAGGCATTACGTATGCGCCTCTGAACTTTTAATAAAAAGAAACAATTCAATTATATATATATATATTCATTTTGTATGGGCCACTATGTTTAGCTCTCTACTTTCATTATTTACTCTCATAGACATCAATAGTGCCATGTATAAACTATTTGTTATTTTAGATATACACCCTTTATTATTATGTTAATGTGACGAGATGATCTGTCTAAGCTATTTGATTATGTCTTCACTTACACGCTGAAGAAGGTTGTAGGAACAACCGAAATATACGTGAAAAGATGTGTATAAGAGACAGGTATTAAAGTGATACATTAAAATTATAATGCCTGAATTTGAGAAGATCACATAAGTTGTAAAATAAATAAGGTGGTTATGTAAAGAATGTTAAATGTTAATGGAAGTAACTGAGGGGTGTCGATGGCAGCTGCTTAGCCAACTCATCTCACAGAAACACATGCTAC